GCTTGCCTTCAGAAGTCGTAGGTGCTCCATCACTGAATGCTTTCAAAAAGAGACTGGAAAATGATTTGTCTGAAATAGTATAGGACCTCCTGCTCAAGCAGGGGCTTGGACTAGATCCAGGGGTTCTCAACCTTGGCAACTTTAAGACTTGTGGACTTCAACTCCCAGAATTCCTCAGCCAGCTTTGCTGGCTGAGGAATTCTGGGAATTGAAGTCCACAAGTCTTAAAGTTGCCAAGGTTGAGAACCCCTGGATCTCCGAGGTCCCTTCCAACTCTTATTATTCTATGAAAACATCTATAATTTATACTGTACTAATTCAGAGAAATTCATCCAAAAATCCATGTCACCCAAAATGTAGAGTTGACAAAGCCCAGAAAGACTGGCCAGATAAACTGATTTTGGCTAACTAGTAACATCTAATAGTTGCCTAACTATGTAATAAAAAAATCAAAACTGCATTTCCAAGCACCAAGTATCCTGCTCTTGCCTTAAAAGTATTTTGCATTATCTACTGCCATTTTTTTAAATAATCAAAGCTTGACATCATACACCAATTATATAATGTGAGATAAGCCACTGTAAAAAAGAATAAAGTCAACGTACCTTCCAATGTATTGGATTTACTTTACATGGAGTGTGAGCACACTGGAATTTGATACATAGTACAGATTTTAAAAAATATAAAAATGCAACAACAGCAAAACAAAGTTAAAAACACTTCCTATGTGACCCAGCATAAGAATGTATTCTCTATCAGTGTGTCAGGGAAACAAAATCTTCACTATCAGTGGGAGAAATTATATTAAATTGATCAATTACATAAAAATCTCTGAAATTTAAGTATCATAGAAGCATATTTTCACATTTCATCCATCTGCTTCCTTAAAATCACTGCTAAAATAATACCCTGAAATCGTCTTTTCCCCTCAAAGCAGATTGCTCATGAAATACACTACAGGTGGTTTTCAATTTATGACCACAATTGATACCAGAATTTTGGTTATTGAGTGAAGCAATTGTTATGTGAGAGGCCCACGTAGCTTAACTCAATGACTCTAATTTTGTCTCTCATAGTTGCGAGTGTTAAGCAACCATGCAAGTTATTAACTGCAGTGCGGGGTGCCATGGTATGGGGAGGCCCGGTGCCAACCAGTGCATGGAAGCCTGCTGTCTTATCCTCATGCCAACATGCCCAGATTCATCCCCAGACTAGGAAAGCTAGAAAACATGATCATTCTTGTGATGGGTTGAAAGGTCCTTTGTCCAAATTGCAGTTTTCAGAGGGAGCCTTCTGTCTTGCCTTGTTTGGGCAGACCTGTCAGCAGCTGCAGAACAGGTAAGTGGAGTCAGGCATGATAAAGTGAAGAGAAGTCAGCAGGGAACAGTGAGGCCTCCAAGGCTGAGACAGCTTTGAGTGCTCAGGTGAGCCCAGTGGGATTTGAGATGGGAGGTGACAGCGCCCCTGTGGCTGATCTAAGGGTGGGTGAATTGCCAATCACCCAAATTTTGATCACGTGGGGAATGCTGCAACAGCTGTACCTTCAACCAGAGATCGTAACTGTGTTTGTTCAACACTATTGTAATTTCAAACTGACATTGAATGAATGGTTATTAGTCAATGATTGCTTATAGTTAGGATTTTGGAAGATCATGTTAAAATATACAATTATGAACCATGCATACAATAATTCCTCATAGCATGAGATTAGTGCATCCATCGCTGCCTGAGCACTAAGTAAAATTTAACTGAACTTTTTATCATATGCAGATATTTACCATAGAAGATGTAGAATATTTATCTGTATAATTAAATTTGTTATTATAAGTAAAGAAAATACAAGTCAAGAAAAAAACAACAGCCTTATGTTCCTGGACAAGCAAGACAGAAGTATGGCTACCTTAAATAGCTATTTGGATGCTTTAAGTATCTCATGAAAGTAACTCTGTTTTTTTTGTGTGATTGATCTTACTTCCATCAAATTCCATAGCTTTTCAATATTTCTCAAGGGTTTTATGCATTCCATGCTGGCTTTGACTAAATCAACATTTAATTACCTGAATTTAGATCTCAAATTCTGTCTTCCCCAAGTGTTAACTAAACGTTGACTGTTTTTGTCTCCTTCAGCTTCAGATATGCAAGTTCTAACAAGTCATAAGGCACTGTAAGCTAATGAACAAAATGATTACTGAAGCAATCTTCAACCTGGCATCCATCAATTCTCTTTGGCCTCTCAAGACAGTTGTCTTCTTAGTACCAATGGAGACTCTTAACTGTTAGGATTGCTCCCTATACAGTACATATACTAGCATGGATAGTTGTTTATAATTGCTGATAAAATTGCATCTATATGTCATGCATGCCAAACCTCTGTTGATCAAAATAGATTTAGATAATATATATTGTATAGGAAAGGCACATCTGATACCTCAAGTAAATAAAATTGTTGCTGCTATTCTGCTGCTGCTGCTGTTATAATTACGTTCCATCTTTTTATGCAGAGGGCAGCTGAGGCAGCTAAGTAATTCAAAAGGAAAGGATAGTGCTACACTGCTATCTGTAACGAGACATAAACTATACACTTACTCAGTTTTTTCAATCATCACAGGTGATTTGTATTTGTAAATATATGACTGTCTCTTCTTTCTACTGGAATATTTAATTTTTTTCTTTGCAATTTCCTTCTTTAGAAAGTTCTATAGAGCCACCTATGATAAAAGATATCCTTCTTGATTTAAAATTGAATCTTCCAATTGAGTTCTATGATTTTTAACAAAAGGCTCTCTACTCAAAATTAACCAGAGCACTGGACAGATTATCAAAAAATGCAGTTATATTTAATGCTACCTGCAAGAAGTATAAAATTAAATCTGTCTTAAATTGAACTCACAGACTGCTAAATACATGAAAACACCCACATTACTTTGTTTTTGGCAATACTACTGAAAACATTTGTCACTGCTTTCTTTTAGGATGTTGTTTTAATTTTCAAAACTAGCCTACAGTCCTATTTTTCCTGGTGGCACCCATTCAAGTATCACCCAGACCTGATCCTGCTTAGCATTTTTAATTCTTTTAAGTCCAGGTAGAAGCAACCACCTAACTGAGAGAGAGAGAGAGAGAGAGAGAGAGATCTACTGTACAGGCCTGCCAATTTGTAAATTAAGAAGCAAAATACAGTCTGTGAGCCTTATACAGTGGTTGACATCTGGCAATGCCAGATGTGTCCATGTTTCAAGATATAAAGATTTTTGTGGAGATCTATCTTAGCTTGGAACACGAACAAGATTGGGTTTAGTATTTCCTTAAGAACCCTTCAGGGAATACAGAGCACTAGAGTAGATGGGAACTCAAATAAAGAAGGTGAAGGCAATCTTTTTTGTATTGTTGCAAAAAAAAAATATGTTTCCATGCAGGCATGGGAATCAGTTTGATTTGAAGGGCACTTTAATAGCTACAACTTGATAGGTTGATAGGCTTGATAGGCATAAATTAGGCAGGCCTGCAATAATACCACAAATCATTTCTTTCACTTGGTAATCTTAATTGTCATTTAAAAAATTGAAAGGCTGATGGGAGACATTTCAACTGTTAGTTGATCAATGAAAACTAGTGTTTAAAGAACATTGTAAAACACAATAGGGCTATCAAAGAGATCCACTTCCCTGCAAAAAAGACAATAGGCTGCATAAGAAATATTCTGAAGTTTCAATCACTTTCTAAGTATTACTTTCCTATGTCTGCTTTTGAATATTAACAGATGTGATGCCAGTGACACAGGCTACTAAAAAGGATCTAATTACTTACAATGTTTAGTTATATGCTGCATATGTGTGTTTCTAGACAAGTTTTCCCCAATGCACCCTCAGATATGTTAAGGGTTATGGGAAATTGTCCAACACATCTGAAAGGCACTAAGTTGAGAAAGGCTGTTCTAGAGCAAGGGTTCCTAACTTGTGGACCATGAGGGGCTTGCAGTTGGGCTGTGGAAATGGCAGGCAAGTGCACGCGTGAGCATGTGCATCCTCACTTGTGCAATGGGTGAGCACAGGCACTTCATTTAAGTGAGTGGCAGACGTATGTGCATGCCATTCATGCAAATAGAGCTGTGCACACAATCTTGCTGGCCATTCACTGTTGGTCCCACCCTGTTGGTCTTCCGTAAGCTACTTAAGACCTGGCTTTTCCGGCAGGCCTGGGGTTTATAAAACCTTACCCCTGGATGATTGTTTTTGTATTGTTGTTTTGTTATGTTTTATGTGTTTTTTATTGTTAGCTGCCCAGAGTCCTTCGGGAGTGGAGCGGCTTATAAATTTCAAAAATAAATAAATAAATAAATAAATAAATTCACGTGGAGCCATCGCCTCTCCCCTCCCCCTGCCGGTTCCCAAAGCCCTAAACATTGGGGAACTCTGTCCTACAGTATTATAACAGCATATAGAAACGAAAATGTTTTATTAAGTCCATATGCAAAAAACAAAGCTGCTGAAAAGTTGACTACTAAAATCTAATGATATTTTGGCAATAAAAAGTCAGTTGTAATGTAATGCTTTGCTTCTATAGAATTACACATGGATTCTCAATGGAATTACATGCATATTACCAAACACTTTACCAAAATGGGACAGCACCCATGTCACCCTTGATTGCTTCCAGGTTTATTATCTGAAAACTCTCTGTAATAATATGTTATATGCAAAAATGGTTTTAAATGATATAGTGTGTGATATAAACATTAATGAATGAATTGGAATTTGCTCTGTGAGCTAATTTACCAAATTCACCAGATATAAAATCATACAGAATGAACAGCTTTAGGAAACCCAAACAATAATTCTAAAAAGAAAAAAAATAGCTTTGGAGGATATATAATAATAAAACTGAACCCATTGTTTTTTTCACATTAAATAACTTTCTCTGGTGTGTATAAAAGCCAGTTCAATAAGCAATATTAATCAAATTCAATAGAATTATATTGTGTCCATTGTGAAAGACAGAGCTTAATTTTAATGGCATGATTTTATTTGAATGTTTCCTGGCACTGTAGGAGCTTCTGCTGTTTCTAGGCAGTATTTCATTTTATTCTTGGGAGATCCAACTTTTTAATGGAGTGCAGTGTTATTCAAATTTAAATGTGTCTTCTCTAACCAAAAAGAGTCCTTCTTAACATCATTTGTCAAATTAACCTTTCAACAAATCGTCACAACAGTCCAAAAGCTTAAAGCAGCAAAAGCTGCAATAGCATAAAAAACTACTCATAACTGTTGGGAAATAATGGCAAGTTGTTATATGTTCTGTCAACATATGTGACTTATTTGACAGGCTGTCCTTTGGCAAGTACTACTTTATAGTTGAGATCTTCAGTGCTCCAATAATCTGAATATATATTTTTCAGAAACATCTCATGCAACATTTTCTTTCTTCTACTTTGAACTGTATGGTGAGCCATTGGCATATTTCTTCTTTCTTTTACTACAAATTTTCCCTTGTTTACTTCTCATCCTCATCTCCTTCACTCATGCTGCTAATGGATGCTGAGGCAGCTTTTGGGGAGGAAGGCGGTGAAGCCTTTCTGAAGAGCCAAGGGGAAGGAGGAGATGGGGAACGTGATGGGGAACGTCCCCGGGTTGGACTGCTTGTGGGACTTTGCCTTGGAGATAAGGCTTGAAGCATGCGCCCACTCCTCTCTTGAAACATCTGCTTCTGGAAACAAAGAAATGTGGACATGTATGGATACAGTAATAGATCTGTCCCCAGCTCGCTCTCCTAATTCTATTTTTGCTCAATAATCTTTTTATCTTTATATCTGTTTTTATGATGGCCCTTTCGGTGACTGAGATATCTCCCCCCCCAAAAAAAATGGATGTAGCCAAAGTACATGCAAGGTAGGAGGGATTTCAAAGGGCAATGAAGTGGCAGAGAGAAGGAAAGGGCCACAAGTGAGCTTGGAGAATTGTTCTTTACATTATTTGAGTGCCTTACAGTGTTTCTGACAAAGGGAAAAAATAAAACGTAAAACAAAAATTTTCCTTCATCAGAATGTAATCAGACTTAACAAGGGTTAGCTCTTATATTATTTCTAGCATGTTACTGAATTCTTGGGGAAACCAGGAGGATTTTTAGACAGGAAAACAGTGATTTTTAAAATAAAAAATAATGAAAAAACTATAAAAACTAATCAAACACTTATGAACTAGAATTGTGAATAAGCACAATTAAGGTTTGTTTTATGCATCCTTCCTATGGAAGTTAACACACTTAAAAACAAAAAAAGTATAAACCCAACCAAAATAATGCAACATAGAGCACTGCCTATTTTACACATAAGAAACATATTTTATAAAGTTTTTCATGCCAGCACCAATTACTGCTATGCAGATCAACTGAACTTCCAACTTCTTAAGACAAGAAATAAGATTAAACTGTAATGGATTGATTTCTCCATTTTTAATATGTTATATATTCCTAGCTCTACCTGCTTGAAAGTGCATGAGAGTTCAAATACATTATTTTATATAGTTATAATAGCATATTAATACATGCACATGTATGAATCAAGAGATGAATTAATCTTCTATATTTAATGTCAGCATTGAAAGCAATATTTGAAAAGAAAAATTAACAATGTTGATAGACTTAATTTGCCTCACAGCGATATCATTTATTTTTCTAGAACAATGCTAGCTCAAGTTGTACTCTTAAAATGATTATTCTATGTGGCCTCTACAAAGACTTTCATGCAACTATTAAACTTCAGTAGTGTAGGTACTGCCACACTGAACTGTAGACAAAAACAAAATATCTTTTCACTGAAAATGGTTAACCAATAGTTATTGTGAAATCAAATCCATTACATGCAACTGTATCTCTTAAAATCAGTATTACTGATTACTACTTTATATAGTAGTGCTTTTTTTTTTTTTTTTAGCACCCATCAGGTTTTTCATTACAAACTGAGGCAAAAATCTTACATTACTACTTAGGGTAATTTATCTTGCATGAGAATGGCCTCAGATTTAATCCCTGGCATTTTAAGAGAGTTTGTTCTATTTGATTTTGGATGTTGAATGATTTTAAATATAATACAGCTCAGGTTATAATTTTGCTGTTTTGTATTTTTGTTATATTAATTGTTTGAGTAGGTATAGCATGTTTTATTTCTCTTTAAGATATTTGACGGATCAATAACTTATAAATTATATGTATGTGTGAAAAAAACAAATACCCAAGCTCCATCTGGTCCAAATAGTTCTAAGAAGTTGCCAATAAATTCCCTAGACTTTTCTTCCCATTTCTGAATGAGATCATGGCTTTTTTCTTCAACTTTATTCACAAATTCTTTAGATCTTTCTTCCACATTCTTCACTTTTTCTTTCATCTTGTCTACCTGATTTTGAAAACGATATTTCTTCTCCTAATTAAAAAATAAAAGTAATATGAGACATGAAGAAATTTTGGTCACTATATACTGAAATTCATATGAGTAACATATTAAATGTTTACATAAACATATCTGAGTATTAAAGATAGCAAGAATCACAGTTTAGGAAATAGAAATAAAATGTAGTTTCCATGAAAAAAAGCACTGAATAGATGAAACCAACATAGTATATGGTAATTTGGGATGACAGACAGGGAGCTCATTAACTCATACAGAAAGATGACCTTATGGTACCTTATAAAGCAGCGGTTCTCAACCTATGGGTCGCGACCCCATTTGGGGTCGAACGACCATTTTACGGGGGTCGCCAAACAATGCAATCCGCCATTTTCCCCCCTCAGGGGGCGCTGCCGCGCATGCGCGGCACCGCCGCGCATGCGCAGCGCATCCGTGTGACGGGGGTCGCTGTCACACAAACGTTGAGAAACGCTGTTATAAAGATACTTTTTAGGACATGCAAGATATTTTAATTGTGACACAGCATGCTTTTTTCAGGACATAGCAATGCTTTCTCTAGCCTAAAGGATATATATGCATATTTCTTTTCTTTTTTTCTTGTGGATTTGATCAAACAGATTGCAAAATGCATTTTGTTAGTTTGGTATTTAATGTAAAAGGAGATATAATATACATTCAACAGAAAAAGCAAGATACTTAACAGAATATTGGTCTGTGTGATCATTGTTCTAGAACTTCTCAAATTGAGCTTTTGGGCAGGAAGCTTACCTTCTGGAGAAACCATTCACATTCATTAAATCCCTGAGTTCCCAGACCACCATTGTGCTACTGATAAGACAGCATGTATAGCAAAGAAGAATTAGAGGTCATGAATATACAGATGACCACTTGAAAAAATAAGTTACCTGTTCTAGACATTGTAGAAAGAGAGCTGTATTAGTCCATGATGGGCAAAAAGACCCAGAAGGTGTCTGATAGCATATTTTCTGACTACCAAATTTTATTAAAAGACACAAGCCTATGACTGTTAATAAATTATATTAGTCAGAAAAGGTGCTACCAGACTCCTGATTTTTAAGGTACCTGCTATTATTCTCTGCATTTGTTTACTTATTTAGCGTATGGCATAACATACATGGACTTACAATGTATATTAATGTGTCACCTAAAATGAAAATACAGTAAAACATGAATGTTAAAAGATCTATATTCAGATACCAATGTCTAGGCCAGGGGTAGGCAACGTTGGCTCTTTTATGACTCGTGGACTTGGTCTACGCCATCTAACCATTGAAGTACAGCATCATTTATCTGAAAGAAATCAGAAACTGGACCGGTATATGCCTCAACTTACAGCCAGTCATGATGTGACCTACAGTTTGATGTGAGACCCCATAGTCACACTGAGGGGAGGATGTATACCCCATGTATACAATGAATGTCAGCAGATGCCATGTGAGGTGCAAATCCTATTCTCTGCAACCTTTGTGCAATACACATTTGGAAGATGTTAGCTTATCTTAAGGACATGTGAACTGGATAGTATTATATAAACATGGATAAGATAATGTAGATAAAGGTGCCAGACAATGAAATCTAGTTCTTATACTGTTTCAGAAATTCAGAAGAGCTTACTATAAGTAGACTCACATCAAGAAGATAGTACATCTGATTTTACAGTATATGCATAACTACAGTGGAGGGAAAGCACCCAGCCCAGCCCTTGAGCTCCTGGGGCACCAGGACCCTCCAGCTCAAACCATTCCAACCCCACTTCTCTGAGGGGGCGCCTCAGAGAAGTGGGGCTGGCTGTGGTTACCTCCTTGTCAAGGCTGCTGCTGCTGAGATGCCCTCTCTCCTTGGCCAGGTTGCTCATGGTTGGTACAGGAGGGCAAAGTGCTTGGGATACCCACTCCCTCTCCGTGTGAGGAGACCCAGCTTTGTAACCAAAGCATCCTTAGTGATAGGATGGGAGACCATCAGGATAGGCAAGGGGATGGTGAAAGGACAGTAGAGCTGCTGGCGGCCACGTGCTAAGGCAGGACTTCCCTCAGACCCTCCCTCTCATTCCAATCTCCTTCCTTCCTTCCTTCCTTCCTTCCTTCCTTCCTTCCTTCCTTCCTTCCTTCCTTCCTTCCTTCCTTCCCTCTCATTGTCCCATCCTTCCTTCCTTCCCTCCCTCCCTCTCATTGTCCCATCCTTTCTTCCTCCCATTGTCTCTTCTTTCGTTCTTTCCCTCCCTCTTTGTCCTTTCCTTTCTTCCCTCCCTCTCATTGTCCGTTCCTCCTCTGTGCGTGCCCAGGCAGGTTTGGCTTCTCGCTGGTTCACCTTGCCCAGCCCAGCCTCTCCACGTGGTGAGGAGAGCGCGCTGCTGCCTACTGAAACCGAGCAGTCAGGGGTCTGGGTGGTGTAATGCAAGTAACATGGACTCTCATGCCACTCGTGGCATCCCCTCCCCCGGAGTCCACGGGTGTGTGAAGTGGGTGAGGGCCATTTGATGGTCTCCTTCAGGGGATGCTGCCTTTCTTCCTTCCTCCTGGAGGGCAACCCTTCCCCAGCTACGTTTCTTGCCTCTTTGTCGCTATGTGCGTGCCCAGCACGGATGGCTGCCATGAAGTTGGAGATCAGCTGCCAGCCAGCCTGTTTTTTATCCTTTCCTCTCTCGCCCTTCCTCCTCCTTTTCTCTTCGGTACAGCTCCAGCTGACTTCTCTTCCCAAGACTGCATCTTTTTTTCCCTCCCTCTCCCGCCCAAACTGGCTCCTTTTATATCTTTCTTGTTTCTGCCCCCCTCCTTCTTTCTCTTCTGGGTGTGCCTGAAGTGCTGATCCTGGGACCTCTGTCTCACCCCAGCTGCCCTTCAGCTCCCAAGGACTCTCTCACAGCAAGTCCTGCCGTTTTGGTTCGTTACCTCCCCTGCTACACTTGGCTAGGCTGGGCATGGCCGCATACCACCTGCCAGGTGCCAATGTTGAAAAGAAATACAGCAAAACAAACCACTGTCTTTCTAACCATGCCACAATCATTATATAATCATTACAGATTTTTTCCAAGTACAATGTAACTGGAATGATTGATGCACTTACATTTATAAAGCTGACATTCAGCTCTTTAGCAGTATATCCTCTTTGCAGGTTGCGACGGGCATAGACATCATAATCACGTACAATTCTAGTGATAATATCTGAAGTTGAGATGCCTTCAGTTCTTTGAGTTGGTACAAACATACCTTTTGAAAAGAGAAAAAGAAAACAGAACTGTGATAAAATCTCCAGTTTTCATATGATTAATTATTTCAAAGTGCTTGATGCCTTTGTCTCCTATCACTTGAGTTAGTGAAAAACACTTTACATGGGACTGTCCTTGAAGAGCATTCAACTTCCCTTTTATACTGATAGGGCCTGAGGCTGAAGTGGTATGATTGACCCCATTACGAAGGGAAAATGTTTTGCTTTTAGATGAGTTGATTGTGATATATTTCTGTCCTATATGTGTGATTTTATGGAGTCACATCTATTTTTTTGTATTTTTTAACCTTAATCTCAGTTATAGAAGTGGGAATTGTGTATAGCTCAGAGTTGATTCTGACTGAACCATCCTAGAAGCTCCGTAACATAATTATGAACCAATAATTTACTGTTTGATAAAAGTGGCTCTGGAGAATTTATTTCATAGTACAGAATAATCAACTCTATAATGACAAATGTTTCAATAATTGGCTTATTATGCAATTTATTTTCATAATTTATTTCAATAAATATTCAAAATAATTTCAGGGAAGTAATTTTTGACAGAGAAAGGAATTCTTGCACAATTTAATTTGGGGGAGAGTGCTAGTTAATAAAATATGGATATTCTCTAACAAAAAGCATTTGGACAAAAGGCCAATGATTCTGAGAAGAATAAATTAATACTTAATATGATTGCAAGAAATCTGCATGTCCTATCTAACTCTGACTCTGGGGTTTAGTGACACCATATTGGTAGAATACAATGGGCTATAAAATAAGGAATGTTAGTATCATAAATTCAGTGGCTAATTATTACATAGCATAAAATGACAGAAAAGTTGCATACATATTCTAGATATTGTGAGTATAATTTTATCTCTTTAAATTATTTTGTAGCAGAACTGAGTTGAATTAAATTATTTCTTTAAATAGGAAAAATATGCATTGTTACATATGTTTGATGCCAAGTTTATAACAGGAAAATTATCTCAGGAAATCAAAAACCTGTCAAAGATGAAATTGAACAATAAACTAAACACAATATTAAGAAGACCATAAGTAGAAATTCCTACTGAAGTCCCTTCAGCTATCTAAAAATGACACCTGAATTACTTTTTACTTACTATTTTTTTTCCTTCCATTCAATCTTGTCTGATTCTTGAATAATGCCTGGACAAGACCCTGCAATTTTCTTGGCAAGGTTTTTCAGAAGTGATTTGCCATTGCCTACTTCCTAGGGCTGAGAGAGAGAGAGTGGCCTATGATCACCCAGCAGGCTTTGTGCCAAAAACAGGATTACAATTCATGGTCTTCTGGTTTCTAGCTTGATACTTTAACTATGACAAACTCTCATATACTGAACATATGAGATTGATCTTACATAATTCTTTATAAAATCTGATATAGAAATATGTCTGTTACTTGATTACATAAATGGTATGCCATGTATAATTCTTACCATCTTTAATGTAGACAAAATTGCACTTTACTAAAAAGTGCATTCGATGTCCAGTTGGCATTTCCAGAAAAAGAAACTCCTGGGACATGATTTTACCAAGAGTATAATACTTTACTGAATATTTATATTGGCACAGAAGAAGCGAAACCAGCTCTGATTTTCCTGCTTGAAAGCTTACTTAATTAAAAAATAGATTCCCTTGCCTCCACCCACTGGGTGTTCACATTGTCCAATAGTAATACTTCTTCTCGTTATGGGAAAAGTCCACTTCTCCATCAAGTACCTGCATTAGTGACCTTGGCATTTTTGCAAATTCTCAAAGATGCCTCGGTTGCCTAGATACCACCCCTCCCACCTTTTCATTCCTTTCCTCAATCTTGTCAAGCTAGGAGCAAGGGAGAACATGTAGGTGAAAGGGCGAATCAGTCTTGACACTGACTTTGAAATGATTTGAAGATACTGAGTATTTAAAAGATTAAAATCAAAGTAACTTTGATGGTATATATATTTCAAAAGTTCTTATAAATATGTATTGTAACTGTTAAACTAATGATTTAATTAAAGCATTAAATATCATTTACAAGTTAATTTTATTTTATTTAACAAATTTTTATAGCCATAAATATAATTTACACTCAACACATTAATTGTTACAGGTAGCTTAAATCATTCTGCACCTCAACATTTCATTTAAGTTAACATAAGCTTGCATCATCTCCTAGAAGCATACTTGGAAGTAAGGTATATAAGATTGTTATATAATCTTGCATTTTGTACAGCCTAATATACATATTTATCTTTTTTTATAATATATATGCAAATATGTATCCAGCAGCTTTGCAATAATCCATCAAAACACACATTATATGCAACATTGTAAGCATTTAACATTCAATTGTCCCTATAATTGGTAAAGTAATAATAACAAGAATTTCTCTAGAAATAGATTATTCTTTGGAAGAAAACAATAGTGGGGAGCACATGAATCTTTCAAGAAAAATTTCCTTTAAATGTAAGAAGAATTCAGACAGACAGATTATATTCTGATTATCCCTACTTTGGAATTGTAAAATGAGGCAAAGAATGGCTGAACAATCTGAAGTGATATCCCTATGAAATTCAGGGAGAAAGTTGTTACTACTTTCTTTAATTCTGTTAACTGTTGATATTAACAAGTAATATTATAGGTTGAGAACAAGATTAAAGATTTCTAAATTTAAACTTCAATTTTGCTTGTTGTCTTTGGCTTGTTTTTTATGTAATAAAACATTTTTAAAAAGTTTTATTTTCTTTTTAAAAAGTATGGAACATTATCACTGCCTCATAATTTGGAGAACTGTTGAGACTACAATGCATACAAAAAAGAAGCTACTTAATCTTTTAACAAATATATTGTTGCAAAGAAATAATGGTCCAGGAGGCACCAATAACTGATATCAAAGCTAAGATGAATAGATAATTGTATGGATTAACTGAAAATATCAGGTTTCAAGGCATGGCTAGATGTTACAAGAAATAAAGCTGGCATGCTCTATCATTTTTGTCCCTTTCTCCCAGCATCAAAGCAAGCAGACTATGATGTAATTATATTGTGCATTATTCTGCTTGTAACTAATGTCTGCCACCAATAGCTATAGGGAAATATCTGAAATTCTAGAAAGGAAAGGAAAGGAAAGGAAAGGAAAGGAAAGGGGAAAGGAAAGGAAAGGAAAGGAAAGGAAAGGAGACAACCTCTAATAATATCCAGGTCTAGTTTTAAAAGAATCAAGCTTTTCTATTATTTGGGTTCCTGAATTTCCATACTTTTGCACAAATAATGAAACTTAAAAATATATTAAACTCAAAAAGTTAACAGCCTCATTATCTAAAAGTGGAAGCATTAGGACTAGGTCTTAAAATGAATGTGACTATACACCGAAAGTTTACCATTTACAAAAAACTGACATATTATATCAGGGTATATAATATTGACTGATGAAGAAACAAACACACTCTTGTTAGGATTGCTACTAATTCAGATTCTGAAAAATTCCTTGACAATCAAAAATGTACAGACAGAAAGACATTTTATCACAAAAGGCTATAATATTTATAGATGTTTACTTAAGGAATGGTAGAGGAATTTTGCATTAGAAAATTGTCATAGGTAATTTTTAGTTCAGTTTGCAGCCAACAAATTTCCTGTCAATCTTGTATCCAGATCAAAGCAGGCAAATAGAGCCCAACTCAGTTCCATTATAAAAATAAGCTTGATGTTTATTTAGTAAACATTAGCAAACATCAAAAACAGTTAACTAAAAAAATGGGATGAAGCAGACAAAAGCAGGAAGAGAGACAGATATGAACAACAGATAGGACTTTACATTATGCATATATTCATACATCAGCCCTTCAAGGTAGATAAAATCAATGGTACTTTTCAGTTGCAAGGTATAATAGCAGAATCTTGAAAGCCTGTCCAAGTTTCTCTTTGTCACATCTTATACGAAACAAAATCAAGGCAGAGTTATTTTCTTTTTTATACTTCCTCCTACCTCTGGACTATATAAACTCATATCCAAGTTCCTCCTTAACAGTTCATTCATACTTTCCCCAAGGTCAGTTGTAAATATCTCTATATATCAAAAGTGACAGAATTTTGCAGAGCCAGAGAAAACAATGCTGTGGGTAACTACATGCACAGTCCCAAAGAGCACGGCCTTTTTGTTGTTCTAGAAAATAGGTGGCAACTATTAGTAAACATCAGCTTAATCTGGGAAAAGAGGAAAGTGTGGAAACTCAAGATAGCCACTTCACTGTCTTTGGAATAAGAGAAAGGAAAATGAAACTGTAGGCTTTTAAGATTCTGTTATTATAACCTAGATCAAGAGAATTCTATGTTACTTGAGGTGTCTTTTTCCTAAACTGGTCTAACTTAAAGGACCAATGATATCTAATAGTTTGTTGTTCATAGACAACAAGTTTGCTTCTCCCTATCTCATATTTAAGAATGTTCCTCTAGAACAGAAAAAGGAAGCATTTTAGTGTAGAAATAATTTAGGCAATGTATATAATGGATTGAGAGCTAGTTTGGTGTAGTAGTTAAGGCACCAGTCTAGAACCTGGGAGACGACAAGTTCTTGTCCTGTCTTAGGCCAAATCCAGCTGGTGACCTTGAGCCAGTCACTCTTTCTCAGCCCTATGAAGCAAGCTATGGCAAACCACTTCCAAAACCTTGCCAAGAAAACTATAGAGATTTGGCAGTTGCCAGAAATCAATACGGATTCTGATTCAAAGGCATGCAAGCACAGAAAAGCATGCAAGCATACACACAAGCATAATTGATGACTCCTATTGTTGCAATATAGCAGGTAATGGATATGTTTTGTTACAAAGGAACAGGACTAATAGAAATGGAGATGTTATACTATATGTTGTCTCAAAAGTGTTTTTTCAAGAGGCACCTGGACTTTCTTTTCTTTTTTCCTTTGAAGACGTTTTGCTTCTCACCCAAAAAGCTTCGTCAGCTCTCTTGGATGAAAAGAGAAATGTCTTTAAAGGAAAAAAAAAAAAGGAAGTCCAGTTGCCTCTTGAAAAAGCACATTTGAGACAACCATAACCTGGATGACTGAGAATCTCCATAGAAACGTACTATATGTTGCAATATCCATTCTTCAAAATCCAAATTCCTCATTCTCAAACCCAGTAATCATGGCATGAACCATGGCATGATTGTGGTTGATGATCCCAGTAGAGATGGCATCTATTGAGTTCTTATTGGTCACTTTAAACTGCCATGGGAACATCCATGACTATTTGGCTTGGACTGCAGGAGAGACCAGGTATCTACCTTCTGATGAGGCATATGCCCCTATAATCCTTGATCACTGCTTTCCAAAGTATTTATCAGATCTAACATGAGCTCCTTAAATATATAAGGTTTAGCATTCTTCTGAAAAATCCTAAATCTATGTTTAAAAATCCAAACTATCATTCTCTTGAGAAGGCTTTTATTGCATTCTGCACAGAAAATCAATTTAAATTGGGAAAGAGAGCTGGGTTCTGTGAACTGTGCGATTCTGGTTCTGTCACCAATGATATTACAGTTTTTCCCTATAGGAAGGAAACAAAGTAAGGAAATCCATTAATCCTTTTTCTTAACTTGTCCCATATTAAAATAATAAAAACAGCATCATTTGCTGGCTTTGTTTTTGAGGCAGAATGCAGATTGGCAGAGAGAAGCACAAGTTATGCCAGCCTACATTTCTGCTGACTATCAGGCTCAAAAAACCCCACTATTAGAGAATCACAATACATTTGGTATTGTTATATAGAGCCTGTCCACCAAAGGATCAACTGTCCTTGATTTGACACCATCCCATAAGTATGATTTAGTTGTGAAGCTAAAGAGAACATTAGAAGACAATGAACGTGTAACTCCGGAGTTCTTCATTTTAAGAAAAATTAAAGCTAAGTGTAGTCCAACAGGTGTTGAGGACAGTTACGATGAACCTATGACACGTGTTTCAAAGAAAACACACCTGTGTTCACCAATTTCCAACAACAATCTCAGAACACATCATGTATTCATATGACTTTTTATGCCTGCTGAAGCTATGAGAGAATGGGGTTTCTCTTGCCTAGCCTTCGGACCCTCCAGAAATAATTTAAGTAGGCCAATGCTCTCACAGGGCCTCTGGAGCCATCAGAATGGGTTTTACTCATATTTCATTTTTATAATTATTTGATGTTTCTTTATATAATATATAGCCCCACACATGATTGGAATGCATTTTTTTAATAAATGAATACATAAAGAGTTGTTTATTGTATCTTTAGTTTAATGAAAAGAATGACTAGGAGTGACATCATAGCAGTGTTCCAATATCTAAGGGGCTACCGCAAAGAAGAGGGGGTCAGTCTATTTTCCAAAGCACCCAATAGCAGGATATGAAGCAATGGATGGAAACTCATCAAGGAGAGAAGCAACATAGAACTAAGGAGAAATTTCCTGACAGTTAGGACAATTAATCAGTGGAAGGACTTGCTTCCAGAAGTTGTGGGTACTCCAACACTGAAGGTTTTTAAGAAGAGATTGGACAACCATTTGTCTGAAATGGTATAAGGTTTCCTGATTGAGCAGGGGGTTGGACTAGAAGACCTCCAAGGTCCCTTCCAACTTTATTATTCTGTTATTCGGTTTCTCTTTTGTTCCATATGTGGGTTTGTGTGTGAGAGAGACATGGCAGCAGAGTCAAGTTAGGCATTTGCCATATGTTTGACATACTGTGCCCAAAAGTTTCACCATCACTGATCTAGGACTTTAAAACTAGATTTTAATAACTGTGAGAACAATAATCAGGATTTCAAGACAGCAGAAATAAATAGGAAGGCAACTTAAAATGATTCATCATTACTTAGAAAAGAATACTAAAAGCATAGGAAACAATTTGAAGAGGGGAGGAGGAGGAGGAGGAGGAGGAGGAGGGAGAAACGAGAATAGTAGAGGATGCAAATGTGACTACACAAAAAACAAAGTGAAATTATAAAAAAAAAGGGACCAAAATTTACATTGCTCAGCAAGGCAGCTGTTAAGTAAATCATGCCCAATTTTACGATTTTTTGCCATGGTTGTTTAGGGATTACTGCAGTTGCTAAGTGAATCATGTGGTCATTAAGTGAACTCAGATTCTCCTATTGTTTTTGCTCATTGGAAACTGCTGGGAAGGTTGCAGATGGCAATTGCATGATCCCGGAGCACTACAACCATCATAAATACATGCTGATTGATAAGTGCCTCAATTTTTATCATGTGACTGTAGGGTTTTGCAATAGCTATAAGTGCAAGGCCCGGTTGTAAGTCACTTTTTTCAGTGTCATTGTTACTTTGAACAGTCACTAAATAAATGATTGTTAATCAAGAACTACACATACATATAAGCAACTGAAAAAATCCCAGATTGTCAGAGAAAAGTACATGTAGAAAGCCAAACACTGCAATTGCAGTATCAGAAAAACAAAATCTCCTTGATTAGTTTCCATCCATTGCTTCTTATTTTGCTTTCAGGTGCGTTGGAGAATAAGTTGATTCGCTCTGCTTTGTAGCAGCTCTTTAGATATTGGAACACTGCTATCATGTTACCCCTACTCCTTCTTTCCATTAAATTAGACATACTCAATTCCTGCAATATTCTTTATATGTTTAAGCCTCTAGTTCCCCTAATCATCTTGCTCTTCTCTGCTTCTCTTTCTACAGTCTCAACATCTTTTTTATATTATGATAATCAAAACTGGAGGCAAACTAGATAATCCAATCACTTCTTTTTTTGTTAAATAGCCATCTCTCCCACATTGGTCCAAATAGTTCAAATTATTGTATAGAAAGAAGCTTTACAAACTCTTATTTGCAAGCTACCTTCGTATCTTTATAATGGAATAAAAAACAAATAGTCTGAACTTGTTTTTTTATGATAAATTTTTTCTTTACACCTTATGATGTTTGCAACTTGGCTACTTAAATTCTTTCTGTGATGATTTAAGTATAGCTGATTCTCTCTTAAACTGGGCAACTGTCCTATGCAACACAATCACCTTGGGAACATTCACAATAACTAGGATACTGAGAAAACATTTCACATTTAAGTCATGTATAAGGAAAGTATTTTAAGGAAGTATTTTACTTATGTTTTATAGTTCAATCCCATGCCCAAGGCAGGAGTCCTTATACCATCCTGGACAAATGGATGTCCAATCTTTTCTTAAAAAGCTTCCCCAACGGAGCACTCACAACTCCACGAGGCAAGCTCTTCCACTGGTTAATTGTTCTCACTATCAGGAAATTTTCCTTAGTTCTAGGAAAAATCTCTCTTTAATGAGCTTCCACCCATTGATTCTTGTCCTGTTCTCAGGTGCTATGGAGAATAAGTTGACCCCTCATTCCTGTGGCTACCTCCAAGTACTGGAAAAGAGTTATCATTTCTCCCTAATCATTCTGTTCATTAGGCTAGACATACCTAGTTCCCCTAACTGTTCATAATATGGTTTAGCTTCAATACCTCTTATCAACTTTACTAGTCATACAGTGATTACTAGGAAATTTCTAGAGAAGTTTGTAAATTCTATAAATACCTTGGAAAAAATGCCACAATCACCAGAATTATTAGCATGTATTTGTCAAGGGCATGTCTTGCCTAAATATTATGCTGTTATGTTATGCTTTGTTTGTCATGTCATGTTATCGGATAAGTCATTTCTATAATGAGAGTCAATTTGGTATAGTGTTTAAGGCAAGGAGACTTTGAGTTCTAATCCTTACTTAGGCAGCAAACCAACTGGTAACTTTGAGCCACTTACTCTCTCAGCCTTAGAAAGAAGGTGAGGGCAAACTATTTCTAAAAATACTGCCAAGAAATCTGCATGAATTGACACAGCCAGTTGCCAGGATTCAAGACTGGGTTGAAAGCACTCTCTCACACACAATTTTAATAAATTGTAGAAATGTGATAGATCCAACATATTTTGACATTAGCAAAACATTTGCTGAAGTGCCTCATGACATTCAGATTAGTAAGTTAGTTAAGCATAGACTGGATAGTATGACATTTAGGAAAACTGATTATGAGTCAGCAGTGTAATGTGGCTGCCAAACAAGCAAGTATAATTAAGTCTGAATTATTTCCAAATCACAAGAAGTAATCATTTCACTTTTTCTATTTTGATCAGATTCCACTCTGAGTGTTGCATTCAGTTCTGGGAACCACATGAGAAGAAGTATTCAAAGAAATTAGAAGGGCAATGGGAATGATCAGGGAAATGGAAATAGACCTCTGAAAAAGTTGGGCAGAAACAGTTTGAGGAGACTGAGGAATGTACAACATTCATCAAATATGTGAGGATGTCACACAAAGAAAGTCAAGGTTGTTTTGTTTTATTCCAGAGTGCAGAATAATAGTTACAGAAAGACAGATTCCAATTGAATGTTAGAAATATATCCTATCAATAACATCGCTTCAGCAGTGGAACAATTACTTAGAAAGATAAATGGGTTCTTCTTCAGTTGACAGTATTCAACTGAAGGCTGTTTTGCCACCTGTCAGGGATGCTTTTTAAAAAAATTTATTGTGGTCTTAAAATTTAAGATTTTAAAAAATTCACTGAAGAAGTATTTTTTCAATCTGATGGTTATGTGAGGCAATAATGAGGCTAGCTACTTAAAGGAACAACAAAGCATACCTACCTGCCTCCTTTATATGCTTGTAAACATCATCTGAACCAGCAGAAGAATATGGAATATCATCATGGGCTACAAAATCAATCTAAAAATACAGAATAAAAGGAAATTAAGTTGTCCCTTACTTTGGAAACCTAACTTCATTATTTGCTAAACAAATTTTAAATAAAGATACTTTAAATGATTGTAATAGATTTTATAACACTGCATAGCACATGAAAGTACAAAACCTTTTAGTTATGTATATGTGATATTAGTTAAAGAATCTAAGCTGTTTACAATTACATTAAGTACCACATCAGTAATACAAAATATTCACTATGGTGGAATCTAAAGAATCATGCTAAAGAAAAAACGTGTCTCAGAATATTTTAATGACATTTTTACTATTATACTTTGCTTCTTAATATAATACAACTTATTCCAAATAAGTGGAAGACCAACCATAGCTCATTATTTGAGCTTTGCATATTATTGAGAAATGGATGACATAAACATGTAGTAGGTAGTGAAGAGTAGCTAATCTTACAATTCAATCAATCGGCATTATCATTGTTATTACTGGAACTGAGTCAATGTTTGAAAAGATATTTTCCCTTTTTATTATAGTAGCATGAAAAGTTCTTTTTCACTTCCTCAAATCCTAATTACATTTTCTAAAATTTTGAATGCATAGCATCTAAAAGGAGACAAGAAAAGGAAAGGAGATTTTCATAGTGTTGTTACTATCACAGCTATAAGCAAAAGGAAAGAATTATTACCACTTTTGAATTACAACCTGAATTACACAAATAATATGCTAGGGATGGTAGCAAAAGACACCTCAATTTATAGTCAACTACGCTTTATAAACATGACAAATATGCAGTATTTGGCACCATCGCTAGTATGAAACTGGTTTGGGGGGGGGAGAGGTTAAAAAAATAGAAAGAAAAATACCTTATGTTTTTCCAAAAACTCTGCTGTGAGTGTCCATGGAGCATCTCTGATTACTTCATCTACATAGCGACAGTGTCTGAGAGCCTCATAACGTTCCTCTTCATTCATTACAGTGAAACCTTTAAACTTATGTGTTAGATCATCACTGCAAACTGACATACATGCAAGAAGAATTCAAAAAGAGTAACCTTGGCCCTGTAAAATTCAGTGCATCTCTTTGGCTATAAATTATTCAAATCTATTTTCAGAGTTTAAAACAGTACTAGTTGTCATACCAAATCACAAAGGTAGCAATTTTCAGTCCCTTGATCACATTTAGTCAATTGAAAACTTGTTTATATTGGACGGCCATTACATTAAAAGCTATCCTATGTTGGATAGCTGTTTCTCTAATTTGTTGGTCAGAGAAATTGCTAGCTGAGTTTCTTTCAGAAGCAAGTCCCAAAGCTTTTCAACTGTGGAATGGTGGATCTTTTCTTGCAGTTCTCTTTGCTGTCCTAGCTGGAAAGTCTGAGACTTATCTCAAGACACAGAGATAGCAATGAAATGGAGTGAAGCTAGACTGGCCATTGTTTTATTTCAGCATTTCCACATTCTCCATGGCATTTCTTTTTCTGGATATTATTATTGTTCCAATTTCTTATGGAAATATCAGAATATCAGTCATAGGGACATGTTCTTCAATTGCCTTCTCTTAATACAAACTAATGGAAAGAAGCAATTATATTTCAGCGTATAAATTTGGATGAAATGACATTCAGTAGGCTCCATTCCACATTTCTGTTTTTAATATCTGAGAAAGAAGAATCCAGAATTGATCTTGAACATACGTAATATTAAATTTATTTCTTTTCTTATCTCAATTTCATAAGTTCTACAAGTCTTAGGGAACAGGTCAGCTTTACAAACGGAAAAAAGATCTTCTGGATCAGAGGAAAAATTACCTTATTGATCATGTGATATTTGCAAGCCCTTTAGTTCTTTCCTAATATTTCTTAGGAAAAGGTTAAAATTAAATGCTTGCTTTTTAGTAAATTAAAATTAGAAAACTCACAGAAACAGAATCTGGGCTTGTTTAGCAAACTATATAAAAAAGAATGTCAGTCTAAAAGTAATATTTGTTTGAATATCAGGCTTACCTCCTACTAATAAGTAGCTATTAGGAAACAGAGTTTTGGCTTGCATGAGAGCTCTTGCATGACCAGAATGGAAGAGATCAAATATTCCATCTGCATAGACTCTGACCGGTCTGTCCACTATGAACATAAGAAACAATTTCCATGTCATACCAGACGTTTATGATGCATTTGCTACTTCTATTCAGAAATATAAGGAAGAGGTTCAGGCAGTGTTGAGTCATTTAGCCCAATAAAAATCCATATCAGAAAAATTATTTTCCATAAAAAAAAAAGTAATTGGCTGGTCTTGGCTGAGCTCAGAAGCTAACAAGAGTCAGACCCAGGTTAATACTTGGATAGAAGATCACCAAGAAATTCCAGAGCCCTAGATCAGATTGGGAATTTGATCTGCATCCCAGAAGAAAAGATTGCTCCATTACTCTGTTTCATGGAATCTGTACAATATCACTAGAAGGTGAGTTTAGCTTAAAGAGGATTTCCTTAATAAAGAAATAAACTACCAGATGAATTATTATTATTGTTATTGTCATTAACAACTATTACTATAATTATAAATTATAATAATGCAGACCAGAAATCAGTAACAACAAGCCTTGGTTTACAGCTAAACTCAAGCAGCTACATCGTGCCAAGGAGGAACCTACAGGAAAGGAGATAGAATGTTGTACAATCAAGCCAAAAATGTATTAACAAGGGAGATCAGAGCAGCAAAAAGAAGCTACTCTGAAAAACTGAGGAATCAAATCTCAATAAATGAACCAGCAAATGTGTGGAAAACTCTTTAAAATATCGGTGATTACAGCAAACTTCCTTTCCATGCTGAAGGGAATCGACAACTGCCAGATGACCTGAATGAGTTTTACGATAGGTTTGAGAGGAAACCACTGTCAGCTATCTCTACCATCTCCATCGCAAATACACCAACAACAGCCAAACCTCCTACAACTGACCCCATCCTTTTGGGTCCCTCACCTCTGGTGATCACAGAAAAAGATGTGCGAGATCTATTTCACAGAAAAAGCCTGGAAAAGCACCAGACCCAGATAAGATAACTGCAGTGGTGGGATTCAGCTGGTTTGCACCACTTCAGCAGAACCGATAGTTAATTTTTTGTTGCCCAGGCCCAGAATGGACTTCTGGAAGCAGTATCTACACAGAGAACTGGTTGTTCATATTTTGAATCCCACCACTGAGTAATTCCTTCTTGCCTGAAAGCTTGTGCTGACCAAGTGGCCCCCATCTTCACCCACATCTTTAATAAATCACTAGAGATGTGTTATGTTCCTTCTTGCTTCAAATGCTCTACTATCATCCTGGTGCTGAAGAAATCCTCCATCAAGGAACTGAATGACCACAGACCAGTTGCTTTGACATACATAGTTACGAAAACCTTTTCAAGGTTAGTGCTGGCCCACCTGAAAACCAGGGCTTTTTTTTGTCATAGAACACCCAGAACGGAGTTCCAGCACCTTTTTTGGATGGAACCTTGTAGGGTAGGCAAGGCGGGTTATATGACATATGTGAGTTCCGGCATCATTCTTTTTTACAAAAAAAGCACTGCTGAAAACTATCACGAATCAGCTGTTAGACCCCTTGTGATTTGCCTACCAAGCCAATAGATCAGCAGATGATGCTGTTAATATATCTCTGTACTACATCTTACAACATTTTGAACCTCCAAGGACCTATGTCCTTTTGTAGACTACAGCTTGGCTTCAATACCATCATTCCAGATATTCTTCCAAATAAACTGATTCAGTAGCCGTGCCCGACCACACTTGTAAGTGGATCATAAGCTTTCTAACAGACAGGAAGCAGCAGGTGAAGCTAGGCAAAATCACATCAGTAATCTGTATAATTAGCACAGCCCCCCAGCCAGGGCTGTGTGCTCTCTCCATTCTTTTTTCTTTCTATACCAACAACTGCATCTCAAAGGATCCCTCTGTTAAAGTACTGAAGTTTGCAGATAATACAACAGTCATTGGTCTCATTCGAGACAATGACGAATCTGCATATAGTCGGGAAGTTGAATAACTGGCCTTGTGGTGCAGCTGGAACAATCTTGAATTGAACACAATCAAAACTGTGGAAATGATAGTAGATTTTAGGAGAAGCTCTCCAATTCTACCACCTCTTACAATACTAGACAACATAGTATCAACAGTAGAGATCTTATAGTTTCTAGGTTCTATAATATCTCAAGATTTAAAATGGACACCTAACATCAAAAATGTCATCAAAAAAGCACAACAAAGAAGGTTCTTCCTGGGCCAACTTAGAAAGCTCAGACTACCCAAAGAGCTGCTGATACAGTTCTACACAGGAATCTGTCTGTCATTTGCAACTCTATAACTGTCTGGTTTGGCACTGCAACCAAACAAGACAGACATAGACTTCAACTGATAGTTACAACTGCAGAAAAAACAACTGCTACCAGCCTGCCTTCCACTGAGGACCTGTATACTGCACGAGTCAGAAAGAGGGCTATGAAAATATCTACGACCCGTCACATCCTGCACATAAACTGTTTCAACTTCTTCCCTCAAGACAACGCTATAGGACATTGCACGCCAAAACAACTAGACAGAAGGACAGTTTTTCCTCCATGCCATCATTTTGCTAAACAACTAATTCCCACAGCACTGTCAAACTACCTAGTAGGGCTGTATTACTATCATCCTTCTCATCTTTTTTATTACCTATTCCTTATCTTCTTATGACTATAACTTTGTTGCTTGTATCTTACGATTTATATTAATTGTTTTATTTAGTATGCTAGAATGGTTTACGTTGATTGCTTATTTAGTATCCTATAACTATCACTGAGTGTTGTAACTTATGAATTATGATGAATGTATTTTATGATTATAATCATGATTTATCACTTGTTGCTTGTATGTTCATTGAGAGCTTATGCACCAGAGACAAATTCCTTGTGTGTCCAATCACACTTGGCCAATAAAGAATTCTATTCTATTCTAATTGGGTTGCTTCTATATGGTAGAGCTAAAACAGAAAGTGCTCTTCTAAAATGAGAAGCATATGCACACATTTATAACTCAAATATTTATTTCTTGATACTTTTTTATCTATACACTACTAAAACTCTCTTTCCTGTAACCTTTAACTGGGTGAAATGATGCACTACAGGACAAATTTTTTTGAACCAAAGTATGGTTCAGCTTACTTGATTGCTTTCAGAATGTGAGCATGACTTCCATGCAGTTAAAATTTGAAAACTTTATGCAACATTTTATGACCCCAAAATTATCTGAAGCTCTGTAATTGTTAAAGGCATTGAGGAATCTGAAGGAAATATCTCTAAAAGGATGGCCCAAGGGGTCATGGATTGCCTAGTTTCCCTTAAAAGGCAGCTGAACTTGTTATGGGACAGGACTATGAGGGCAGCAGGCTAATTGGGCTAATCATGTGCCGAATGCAGACCTCTGACCTCCCCAAAAGGGAAGACTGAGCAGGAGGACCCAGAAGGAATAGGACAGCTATTTCTGCTATCCCCGCCATCCCCAACATCTATTGCTGAGGTGATTGTTTTGAGTCTGCCTATTTGCAAGACTGCTTTTAAATATGTTCAGATGTTTAATTTACTTATTTGTTTTGTATGGCTGTCAAAATTGCAAAAAGCAACTCTAAGTGGCTAACATAGGATTAAAAACAAAACAAACAATAAAAATAAAGCCAGAAGGTCACAAAATGTGATCTCAGGTCCCAGAACAGTGCAACTGTCATAAATATGAACTAGTTGCCAAGTATCTGAATATTGATGAAGTGATCATGGGGATGCTGCAACAATTGTAAGTGTGAAAAATGATCATAAGTCACCTTTTCAGTGCCACTCTAACTTTGAACAGTCCCTAAACCATTTATGGCAAGGACTATTTGTATTTTATTCCAATTTTCCCAATTGGTGCCCCTTCGATGGGGGAAAGTGCTTTAAATTGGGACTACAAAGTCCAGTCTGCTGGGAATTTTGGAGGCACTGGACTAATGTGGTTGAAATCCATTCTGAAATTAATTTATAATGCATAATACCAGACTCACCTGGTGTTCCAACACGGGCCTGAGCAATGGTTAGCTTCTCATGAGGAGCTTTGCACTGACAGCTTGTTTCACCTGCAAATGGAGCCGGTGCTGTCAAAGTCTAGAAGATGGGAAAGGTCAGAGCAAAATAAATTGTCAGTTGTGGAAGTTATCAAATATGACGTTATTGCTTCCACCAATATCACTTGATAAGGATTTTTTAAAAAGTTAAATCTTAAGGAGAGTGAATAACTTTATAATATCCTTCAAGTTTGTTTTCTTCCAGTGAAATATTTTAGAAGTGGACACAGGGATGTAAATATTTCATTCACCTACTGATTTCAAGTGCATTCTCATTGCTATTTATTCCAATTCCTGAGAAAATTTAATTTGAAATATCTATAACTTCCCCTGTTAAATAAATTGCATTAACACATCCATACATAGTATACATAATATGAGATGGGAACAGAAAAAGTTTAATTAAGAATTTAAATAGAGATTCTTTCAACTAATAATAAAGAAGCTGGATATTATGCATATCATCTTTCTTCTTTTGGCTTCTTATGTCATATTAAGCAAGAATAGAAAGAACATAAAAAATAAAAAGGAGTGAAGTTTGGAGAGTTTGTCATGGTCAGCTCTCATGTGAAACTAACATTGCAGAGTCAACAGTTCTGAAAAACTGGGAAAAAACTTGAAACATTCCAACTTCCACATCCTTATGGCTGGTACCAATGATTGTGTAGGGGAACCAATAAAGCTTTCTGGGCACAAAGATAAACCTCTCAGATGGAGTCCTCCAATGATGAGGCTGCAGCAGGTGACGATAGCAGGAGAAAGAAAATAGGACAGCTCTTTACTGCCATTGCAACAGTGGGCCTGAACCCCAAAGGGTCTCCCTCAATTCTTCAGCCACCATAAAATATCCCTTTCTCCTTCTGTTTTATCTTCTGCATTCAGACCCTAACTTCTCCCCCGATAGAGCTCTTCCTCTAATGTGACCTAGTCATTGGTTTTACTGCCATGTCTGCATGACTTTGCTCTGATTCATCCCCAGCCCACATCTGAGGTTGGGGATGTACAGTCACCCATAGCTATTAATTTAAAGGTAGTTTTCCCTTCTTGTATCCATGGATACAATTTGGCACACTTCTCCAATGAATGTGAATACTGATGCTATCAGGATGCAAATTGCTCAACTTTCCTATTAGCTATTTTAGGTTACTGTGGGTACTCCTTTTCTATAGATCACTGAGAACTGCCCTCCAAGACCACTTTGTCTAAGGCTGCAGGAGAATGCCTAACCAGCATTTTTCATAGTGCTTGTCAGATCTTTCACAGGGTCCTTAAAAATACAGGTTTCAGGAAAAATTCTTTCTATGTTGAAAGCAATACACGAAACCATTCTTTTAGCTTGTGATAAAATAAGATCTAAAATAAAAGATCAAGATGCCAGCTTAGATGCACAAAGCCAAATTTTGACTACAACTAAAGAACCAACAATGCAGAAGATAAAGAAGAAGAGGGACAACCAAATATTAAGACAGAGGACTCAATTGACCAACAAATACAGCTGATGGAAAATCCAGAAAAGGAAGTGACAGCATTGCAATGGAAATGACTTTCTATATAAATCAGAAGAAATTTGAGAAAGAAGTAGAACAGATTGAATTGAAGACAAATATATTAGAGCAAAGATGGGGAACTGGAATAACAGGGAGACAATTTAACGAATACAAATGGGCTAGTCCTTCCAGAAAACATGGGAAGATCTTGGAAAAGATAATCAAACAACGAATCACCGAACACCTAGAGACAAACAAAGTCATTACTAAAAGCCAACATGAGTTTGTCAAAAATAGATCATGCCAGACAAATCTTATTGCATTCTTTGACCAAGTGACAAAATTAGTGGATCAGAGGAATGCTGTGGACATAATTTACTTGGACTTCAGTAAGGCATTTGATAAAGTAGATCACAACCTACTACTTGACAAGAGAGAAAAATGTGGGGTAGACAGCATCACTACCAGATGGAACCGTAGCTGGCTGACCAGCTGTACTCAGCGTGTGGTCCTCAATGGAACCGCATCTACATGGAGAAAAGTGTGTAGTGGGGTGCCCCAGGGCTCTGTTCTGGGCCCAGTGCTCTTCAACATCTTCATCAATGATTTGGGCGAGGGGATAGATGGGGAACTCATCAAATTTGCAGACGACACCAAGCTGGCAGGAATAGCCAACACTCCAGAAGACAGGCTTAAGATACAGAAGGATCTGGACAGACTTGAACACTGGGCACTATCTAACAAAATAAAATTCAATGGTGAAAAAAGCAAGGTTCTACATTTAGGCAAGAAAAACCAAATGCACAGGTATAGTATAGGGGGTACTTTGCTCAATAACTGTGAGAGGGACCTCGGAGTCCTAGTGGACAATCACCTAAATATTAGCCAGCAGTGTGCTGCAGCTGCCAAAAAGGCCAACACAGTGCTAGGCTGCATTAACAGAGGGATAGAATCAATATCACTGAAGTGTTAATACCATTTTACAATGCCTTGGTAAGGCCACATTTGGAATACTGCATCCAGTTTTGGTCACCATGATGCAAAAAAGATGCTGAGACTCTAGAAAGAGTACAGAGAAGATCAATAAAGATGATTAGGGGACTGGAGGCTAAAGCAAATAAGGAATGGCTGCTGGAATTGGGTATGTCTAGTTTAATGAAGAGAAGGATGAGGGGGGACATGATAGCAGTGTTCCAATATCTCAGGGGCTGCCACAAAGAAGAGGGAGTCAAGCTATTTTCCAAGGCGCCTAAAGGCAGGACAAAAAGCAACGGGTGGAAACTAATCAAGGAGAGAAGCAACCTAGAACTAAGGAGAAACTTCCTGACAGTTAGAACAATTAACCAGTGGAACAACCTGCCTCCAGAAGTGGTGAATGCTCCAACACTGGAAGTTTTCAAGAAGAGACTGGACAGCCATTTGTCTGAAATGATATAGGGTTTCCTGCCTGAGCAGGGGGTTGGACTAGATGACCTCCAAGGTCCCTTCCAACTTTACTATTATTATTATTAATTCAAATAATATATATAAGAATAGAGGGAGATCTATTTTATGCTTTAAAGGCGCTGATATGGAAGTCTAGTTGGCAAAAGAAGAAAGCTAGAATAAGGTTGAAAAAACTGGGATTTTGACTCATTAGAGGGGATTTTATATTGCCAATTAGAGGGTTAAAGGGAGATGTTGAGATAAGGGGAATATTGGTTATTAGATTTAAAATATTTGGAAACCAGTTGAAAATAAGGATTTTATTTTAATATTTAAAAATTAGACTTAAAAAAGAAAAGAAAATTAAATATTATGAATATTTGATTTATTGATTAACCCAGGCAATATATATAATGGTTTTGATTTATTAAAGGGGATATTGTGTTATTAAGTAATGACTTAACATGGTGGGAAATAGATAACTCTTAGGAAATAGAACAAGATTAAATAGATAAAATGTGTATTTTGGATAGCATAGTTTGTTATGAAGTGAGATAAGGGAAATTTTGGTTACCCAAAGTCTGAAAATTATAAATATCAAAGGTTAAATTGGAATATTGATAAGAAATTAAAAACTGAGTAAAAATCAATAACATGATATGGATTGTTTATGAAGATTGAATGTAATTAAGATATATATAAGCTAAAAATGTATTGATAAATGTAATAATGATGTTCTTATTGAGTTGATATAATTAGAAATGTACTAACCTGAATATGAGACAGTAAATGTTAATGGAAAAAGAAAAGAAATATTTGATCTTGTAACCTGAGATTTTGTTATTGAACTATTGATTAACCCAGTCACCACGTTGCTTTTTAAATATTCAAATGTAAAATTGGAAAATTAATAAAATATTATATAAAAAAATACAGGTTTCGTATTTTTTGCAAGAGTGTTAAGACTTTTTTTTTTTAGCTGCATAGATTGATTTAAATCAAAAAGTGTTCTGCCAGATGCATGCTGGTAGTTCTGTTACCAGAACTATTTTTTAAAGTAGTTAATTGAAAGATACCCTAGGTCAGTGGTGGCAAACCTAGGGCACGCATGCCAGAGGCGGCACTCAGAGCCCTCTCTGTGGGCATGCACATCACGGCCACTAGCAGCTCGTGCAGGTCCATTAGGCTGCCACCTCCTGGAGCAACAGCCCCGCCCAACACAAAGGAGGCAAAATGGCCGGCTAGCAAGCTCGAGTAAATTGTTAAAGTATCGAGGTGGCCACGCTTACTTGGCCACATCCACCCAGTCTGCTGTGACCACCCTGGCCACACCCATCCAATGGGCCACACACCCCGCCCTCCCTGAGGGAACCACACTGCTGATGCAGCCCTGGCACTTTGCAATAAATAAATGGGTTTTGGGTTGCGGTTTGGGCATTCGATCTCTAAAAGGTTCGCCATCACTGCCCTAGGTATACTGTATTTGTGTTTGGGTTCTATCTCTTTATTGGCATCTAGTGGTTATCTGGACCTCCACAGCCCAGATATGGCAGTTTTATTATCTTTATCTTTATAAGTAGGAAAGAGAGGAAAAAAGAAGGAACTAACAAACAATTGCCAGGAAGACTCCTGGTAGGGGAGGACTCCACTTGCAGCGTATGATACTACTGTTGAGGCAATAATAAGTGGCTTGAGAGTAGCCATTGTGGCAGCTCTTACTTTTCATTCCATTGGCCCTTCCTTTTTCTATGTTACTTTTTGTCATGACACTATTGGGGACCCATGCTTGCACTTATGAATCTTGGTGCAAAAAATCAAGCTGGTTCTACACAGGAAAGAATTTCATGTAATCCACTAAGAATAATGACATTCTGTTCCTTTAATTTTAAACTCACTTTGGGGAGCAATTTCATGCCCACCCTGTCTTTTCTTCACCCACTCATTCCAATTTAAATCCTACACCAGTTTAACTACCTCATTGCACTGATAAGAGTTATAGCTCACAAAAGCGTATACCTTTTTAATAAAAATTGTTAGTCTAAAATAGTACTACCAGACTCCTTTGTTTTTTGGGCTACTACAGGTCTCAGTTAGAAAGGAAATTTCTTTAGGGCTAGTACAATTTCAGAATAGGATATGGAAAAATCTATGTCATAATGACATTTGCCATTGGAATAGATTTCACGTTCCCTGTGAAATCACTTCTGTCCCTGCAAATTTTAGAGAAGTGTATTAATTCCTCATTACAAAGAAAAAGTCACATTACATGATTAGATGGCAACTCACATAATGTTGGATGTAGCATATGGGATCTTTGACAGAAATAAATTTAAGAGTACTCTTAGCAAAATTAAGAGTACTTAATTTAGGCATGACTAAATATGTCTTAAGCTCAGTTTTTTTATCCTACCTTACAATTTTGAGATAACATAAACCAAACTTGGAATAACTATACCATATCATTCTTTAAAAATATGTTGTTTAGGTTAGTTCCGCTGAAATGTACAGTGCTGAATAACTGAACTAGACAGAAATTAGGGTTCTTCAAAATACCGTATTGTTTTTGTTTACATATATTTTTAATTAATTGATTCTTTTATTGACAAATCCCTAAGCTGATTTTAAAATATTAAAAAGAGATTTTAAATATATAATCTATTGCATAGGTTTATGCAAATCTATTATTTTCAATGTGAGGATTATATTATAAATGCATATTTCTAACAAGGCAATAAATATAATTAAATGAAAAGGTCTCTTTTTCAGAAACCATTCTTTTGCACTGAGTGATCATGAGGCAATATTTTTTCCTTTTAATTATCCATGATAATAGAGGCTGGGTCCTTTCCTTTCCTTTCCTTTCCTTTCCTTTCCTTTCCTTTCCTTTCCTTTCCTTTCTCCTTTCCTTCCCATTCCATCATTGTCAAAAGACAATGATGGAATGGAATTGAGTGCTAAACTGCCCTTTTGTTTCTAAGTAAGGTTAAGTTATACAATAACCAGTCCAAATGGTTCGTACTGAGTTAAATAGCAAAGAACTAATGTTACAACAATCATAGATATAGTCTGAGTCTACAAGTGCTAATCCTGATCTACCTAGGAAAAGCCAGTTTCCTGGGAGTTTACTTTTAGGAAATATCACAGTTTTGCAATTCATCCCTGCCCCCCAGTACCACAGGAAAATCCTTTGACAGTGCTAGTTCAAGTATTCTATAGTGCTTTGAACTACCTAGCTTCATAAAACTACTTATGCTGGTCTTTTGCTAGTAAGGGCAATATTTCACAGATTATTTCTACAAAATTTACCAGTGTGGTGCCCATTGGCTTGAATTATGCTGTGGAAATGACCAGTGTAATTTTCGCAGGAACTATTATTAGGCTGTTGCATGTGTTTAAATGTACAGTACGTTTTAAAAATGTCATCAAATCCAACACTATTGGGTTTAATGATCAGAATAGAATAGAATAGAATAGAATAGAATAGAATAGAATAGAATAGAATCTGGAAGGGGCCTTGGAGGTCTTCTAGTCCAGCCCCCTGCTCAAGCAGGAGAACCTGCGCCATTTCAGATAAGTGACTGTCTAGTCTCTTCTTAAAAACTTTCAGTGATGGAACACCATGATTTCTGAAGGCAAGCTGTTCCACTGGTAAATTGTCCTCACTGTTAGGAAGTTTCTCCTTAATTCCAGGTTGCTTCTCTCTTTGAATGGTTTCCAATCATTGTTTCTTGTCCTGCCCTCTGGTGCTTTGGAGAATAATTTGACTGAAGGGGAACTTAGAATGCAGCAGGTTCCCATCTCGTGCACAGCTGAGCTGTCTGTCCCAGAAGGCTTGGGGGTTTCTCCCTATCCTTAACTGTATATGGCCTTATGCTGGTCATTTTTCCCAGAATTCTGTTCCCATTTAAGAAAGTCTTTTTTGCACTATGTGCTCCATTCTGGCACCAGAATCCTTAGCAGCATTTTATTTTTGCAAAAACAAAGTAGAACAAAGGAAAACAGGAGTAGAATTTTTCTCCTCCATTCCTATTTTGGTACAGTTCCTTTTTTGCAAACCAGTCCCAGGACATAGACTACTATAAAAAGGAAAGATGTATAGAATCTTTGCCAATAGTTAGAATACCCCAGTGGTGCTCTGGATAGAGCTTTATTTGTGAGTTGGTGTGTTCTTTGGGGATTATGTGAGAAAGAATTTCAATTCTTATGGAAAAAAAATACATGTCTGATTTTGCACTTCTCAATCAGAGCACGTTACTGCGCTTGTAAATCTCATATCCTATACACAACTGAATGGATCACATCATCATCATATTAAATGGGCACTGGTACTTTTTTTTTTCAAATTCAAACTACTTGCAGCAATATCTGCCTTTTATGTTTGTGTTCTAAAAAAACTACAGAATGAACAAAAAAGCAAAGTTATAATAAGAAGCTAAGGAATTAGGTAATAGGAATGATGAGAAAGATAATAGTAATATAGCTCTAATACCGGTAGGTGGTTTTACATCACAGGGAATTAGTTGTTTAGCAGAGTGATGGCATGGGGAAAAAAGTGTCCTTGTGTCTAGTTGTTTTGGTGTGCAATGCCCTATAGTGTCATCTTGAGAGAAGAAGTTGAAACAGTTTATGTCCAGGATGTGAGGGGTATGTAGATATTTTCACTTTACACATAATATGACTATGCGTAGTATGAATTATATACTTGTAATACATATTGGATAATGACACAAACACTAAATAGTATGGCAATACATTAAATAGTATGAATTCATACAAATGAACGATAGTTAAGAATATACATATAGTATTTATGATACTCCTTGGTTTTACTTTAAATGTCTGTATCACTCATTGTTATATAAACTAAACAAAACCAAGCACTAATATAACTTAGTTTCTATGCCACCTGATTCCCAGCAATTTTGGGTGGTTTATAAATTGTTAGAATATTAAAACCAACAAAAAACAACAAAATAAAAAGTAGAAACGGTAAAAATGCCAAAACTGAATAGAAATAAAGAAAACAATGCAATCTAAAGGCAGCTTCAGTTACCCTCACCAAAGGCCTGCACAGGCCTTCAGAGAATCGGAGATGCAACTTCCTTGAAAGTAGCCTATGTTGAATTTTATATTTTATTTATATTTATTTATTATATTTATTTATATTTAATATTATGTCATAAAATATTTTATAAAAATATAATATTTCCATGTTATTTCTTAAGTTGTGGAATTTAGTATGATTCAAAATTCTTACCTTTGCCACAAATTTCAATAGGAATATATTTATAATAATTATCATAGGAAACAGTTCAAATAGCTTTCATTATGTTATTAACAAAGTAACAAGATACATGGAAACTTATTTACTACCATCTGTATTAACTATAATATAGTATGAGCCCATAATGGTTTTTAAAATATATTAAAATTGATTTTAATATTTAGAGCAAGTTACTTGCTAATTTATTTTTGAGTGGGAAAACATTAACTACTTCCTATTTATAGAGAAACTCTTCTGAGTGTTACTTTCTCAGTTAGCTGCTACCTACAATACATCAATAGGAATCCTTCATAGGAAAAGTTTTTCCTACAATGGAGAAAATGATATATTTTTGTTTTTTGCTATTTTGTTTTTTGTAACTTCTGTTATTACAGAGAGCACACTGTTACTAGGCCATTGTGGATAGACAAGGTTAGATTTTCAGGCCTAATCTTAACTACATCTACTTTCAGAGAAGTAGGCTTAGCACTGCTTCCTTACTTTTAGAGAAATCTTCTCATCCCAGACATATAAATCAGGAGAAAGTATATTGGTCTTCCAAATCTCATTATCTCCTAAAATGATTGCTTCCTTCCATGCAAATTTTTAATAAATTCTTATGGAAGCTCACACAAAGCTAAAAGAATAAAGAACAGAACAAACTCTTATCCTTTCTACTTTTTAGAAAAGAGTTTCCTTTAATATAAAATGTATATGCCAAATGATGCCAATGAAAATGAATGAAATCTAAGACATGTTAGGCAGTGAGGAAAGGATGCTATATTCTATACACAACTGGCTTCTTTATATGTACTGCTTCAATAGATAAATTACTGAGGAAATGCAGATTTTCTCCTAAGGTAACTCTCCCAACTCATATGTGCTGAACTACTTGAAAGTGACATATATGTGTACAATTTCACATGATTTATATATACAGTTTAACTGCATCTTTGGAAAAAAAGAGAGTGAACTGTGATATCCTTTCCTAATGCTCACTGAATAGGCTTTTAAAAAATTAATGTGAAAATCTGTGTCTAAGCAAATTTGTTTTAATAAGTAAAAAGGCAAATTAACAGACAAGAATTAAGTTTTGTGGCAAATCTAGCAAAGGCTAGAGGAAAAGCCTATTGCAGAGCTGGATGGACTTTTTATTGAAAAAAGCCAGGCTGCAGAAACATATTGTAATCCCAGATTCTCTCTCTGAATGCAGCAGGCACAATAATTGCTTTGTAACCCACATTCTTGTAATAAAGAAAGCAAACACAGAGCTAACACAGATTAGGTCCTTTTTTATATTTCTATTCAGACTACAAAACAGGATTAGTCTGTAACCTCATAATGCACTGAGCTCAAGAATAGCAAAAAAGAAAGTATCCTTTGTCTTTTACTTACCAGTCGAGGCTGAGGACATGTGTGCTCTATCTCCTCCATGGTTTCTGAAGGAAGCTCATTAGAAAGGGATTTTGGGATACCTGTTTCTGACTCAGCATTAGTTGCAAGCACTGGCATGGCCAGTGAATGCTTCTTGTGGTGGTGTCCTTTCTGCTACTCTTCTCTCAGCCAGATAATGTTTTCGCATGTAATTCTTTCCCTCCCTCACCTTCTCCCCCTTCTTTTCTTTTCATTCCCTTGAGAAATTAAAGGTTTTTCTTTCAAGGAGAAGCCAAGAGGCAAGGCCTCAGTTTATCACTATAACAACCAGCTAGCAGCAGAGCAGTTGGTACATGATACAGTATTCTAATTTGCATGTCGCATTCTGGTTGGTTACTGTCATCATAGTACCATTTTGACTGAAGTAGCTGATATAGGCTGGGAGGCAGGTTGATATGAATGCCTTCTTTTCTTTATTTAGTGCTTTCCTGCTAAGCATCACATGACTTTACACATTTGATAATATTCTTCACATTTATTATTATACTTTTATTTCATTTTGCATTTTTCTTCCTCTTCTTTTAAATAAAAAGACACATACTGAGATTTTTGATGACTAAATTGCTCTAAGTTTTAAATTCTATTTCTGTATTTAAAAATAAATGTATAATTTAGAAAGAGGGTGAGATGAGCATAATGGAAAGTCATAAATTGAGAAGAAATATGGAGAAAAACATTGATCTAATTTAGCCCTGAATTTAACAATGCTGAGTGAGTTGAGAATTCATAAATTTATCTCAAACTTGTCAAAATAATATATACTTTCCACACTATTATTTCAAACTTGCCTTCTAGTTCTTACATAATGGTGTTCTGGTGCTGAAAGGACAGCTCCTCTTAGTAGTAATTCTATGTAAGTTAGTGATCAAATAATGCTGACGTATGTAAACTAGAGATATACATAATTGATACAATTTTAAGTAAATATTTTTTGAAAGGGAATATAAAACTAATGAAAATTAATATGAAGTTAAAAAAAAGAAAAAGAAAGAAAAAATTAAAGCGAAAGCTAACAGTGGAACAAAAGGAAAAAAGTAAAAGAAATTAGAAACAAAGTATGCTTATTATTGTTTTTATAATTTATCCTAGTGTTTATCAACCTTGACAGCTTTAAGATGTGCAGACTTCAACAATCAGAATTTCCCAGCCAGAATGCTGGCTGGAGAATTCTAGGAATTGTCACCTACACATTTTAAAGCTGTTAAGGTTGAGAAATACTGGCCTATCTTATTTAATAATCAAAGCCATATATCATAAGTTCATTTTTTTCTGTTTCATACAAAAAGTCTATAAAATGTTTCTAATCAGCAATAAACATAGATATTGTCTTTTCTCTGATCAAAGAAGTCAGTTTAGCTATCTTAACCAGTTCTATCATCTTTATTGTGGGTAATGCAAAATCCTTCTATTTTTGTGCAACTTGCTGCAGCTATCATGTATAAAACAAAGTTTCATGACTTGTTTCCAACTGTTTGTTCATCAATCCAAAGGAAAAATCTTTAATCTTAATTGTTTATTAATCTTTAAAATCCTCTGAATCAGTATATGTATTTGAATCCAGAATTTTCTAGCTATTTAACAGGTAAACCAAATCCCTTCTTGTTGTTCATATTTCTAACATAAATTTGAAGTGCTTTAATATTCTAAACAATTTCTCTTGTGACATATACAACCAATAATTTTATAAAAATTCTCTTTAATATTATAATATAGTTTATATTGCAATCCTTCCAGATACATATTTTCCCATTGTTCCATTTGTATATTATAACAAATTTTAGACCATTTTATCAAACATTTTTTCACTTGTTTTTCTTCTGTTTCAAATTAAAAGTTTATATGTTTTAGCAATTACATCTTTATCATTTGTAGACAATTCTATTTCAAAATCAGTCTTACAGTGTTCAAAATCATAAATTCATTTATCTATCTTAAATCCTTCTAATAATTGTAAATAAGAGACCATTGATAGCTATAGCCCTGAGCCACAAAGCTATTTTCAGGCACAAACTGAATTTGATCTATTGCATATTCTCAATATGGCATGTCTAACATTATTCTTAACTTTATTGTATCACAAATATCCAATTTTCAGATTATGTTATACTAACACCAGAAGTTTTTTATTTCTCAGTAATACCCAGTCTTCCATCAAAACCAAATAGCAAGCTGCAAAATACAATTTCAAATCAGATAACCCCTATTCTTCTTTTTTCTTTGCATCTTGTAACACCTTTTATCATAGAAATTCTCCCCAGCAATGAAAGTTGTCATTTCTCACATCTTAACATATATTTTAAACTTCATTTCATGTCTTAACACGGTTATTTTGAAATAACATACAATTCATATTTGTCTTACTGATACTCAATATCATACCTCCTTCTCAATCTTAAAACCCATTTTATTCATCAATTCTGTTTGATCTTCTATTTTCACGTTTTTGCTAGCATCATCTTTATTCATTTTAAAACTGCTAATGCACAAAATTATTTACATTTGCCCATCAATATTTCAATCCCCTTTAAAGAGCTTCCAGAACCAACACCAAATCATCTGCAAAATGCCTTAATTTATAAGTTTCTTTTTAAATCTTTATTCCCACAAACTCGTTTTATATCTCTATTCAGTTTTTCAAGAATGAAAATAAACGAGAAAGGAGACTACCTTGTTCCTTTTTGTATCTCACAGGATTTTGCTAGATCTCCATTATTTGTGTTTTCTATTAAGTGTAAATCAATCTTATCCATTTTGTAAAGTTCTACCCAAAATTTATATCTTACAAAACCTTGAACAAGAAAGCCAAGTTCAAACTGTCAAAGGCCTTTTCTGAATCTAAAAGACCAATGTGGCATGTTTTTCATTATATGCTCCAAATATTCCAAAATATCCAACACATTTGTAATATTGTCCTTTAACTGTCTTTTAGGTAAAACCCACATTGATCCTCAAGAATAAATTCTTGCAAAATCTATCAACTAGAATGTGAACTTGTAGTTATTATTCAATAATGAAGCTGCCCTATTGTTTCTTGTTAAAATTAAATCTTGTCTCCTTTTGTATATTAATGCTATATTGGCCTCTTTCCAATTCTCTGGACTCTTTCCTCCCTGTAAGATAGAATTCGGAATGGTTTGTAAATGTTGTAAAAATTCATTCTCAAAACATTTATAATAAAAATCTGATAATCTGCCTGATCCAGGCACTTTCCTAGTTCAAACACTTTTATAGCTTCAGAAACTTTCCTTATTGTTATAGGTTTCTTAACAATCTGTTCCTCTATAATTCTGGTAAATTTTGTTTATTTAGATATTCATCTATTTTCTTTAGAGACATGTCACTTCTTATATACAAATGGAAAAAAAGTTGATAAAATGCTTTTTGTATGTCCACATTGTCCATCAATACACTATCTCTCTCTTGTAATTTCAATACATTTTTTTTCTTTTCATAATTTATTTGCTATTTCTCTGGCTTATTTGCAAACCTATTTTTTTCTTTATATAATCATTTTTATTTTCATTTCTCTTACTATTAATATAGGTAACTGGCATTGTTAAAGCTTAGTTTGTTGAGAAATATATCTTCTCTGGAAATTTAATTCTTTTTTTCTCTTTATTTCATCCAAAATAGCTTTTATGTGTCAAATTCACAGGATTATGATTTGAAAAAGGCTTTACTGTTTATGTCCATCTCTACTTTATGAACCTTGGTAGTCAAATTGTTTGAAATCCAAATCACATCTATTCTTGAAAAGGAGCTATATGCCTTTCAGACAAATATATATGCTTTCTCGAATTGCCATTTTTCTGTCTCCATATATCAACAACCTCTAAATTGTCTATCAAGTTAAAAAAACTTTAATAATTTGCCTTGCATAGTGTTAATATTTTTCTCAGAAGTTCTGTCCAATTGTGGGGAGAGATCACTCCATTCCAATGCCCCATCCAAAAGCAATTTTTATAAGAAAAGCCTATTAAATTCTCCATAATAAAATTATTTATAAAACAACACTTGTTCTCATTTGGATCATAAATTCCCAGTGTCATATTGACTTCCACCCAATAAATCTACCATGCTCATCAGTCAATTCAAGTTCTAGTTTTGGTTGGGGATTTATTTATTTATTTTCTCATCTTTTTCATCTTTTTTTTTTTCCCCTTTTTTCTCCTTCCTTCCTTCCTTCTCCTGATAAAATAATTCTGTTTTCTGAGAAAATAATTTCTCAGAAAAGGGAAAATTCTGTTCCCTTTTGGTAAAGGCAAGTTATGCAAACAAAGGAAATGAGGAAGAAACAATAAGTAAAAGGAACTGAGGCATGAAATAAGAAAAAGAGAATGAAATATAGCTAAAACTAATTCATATCTAATCATTCATTACAAATCTCCTTCCTTCCACCACATCCATCCACTATTTCATACATTTGACTTTTGTTCTTCTCATTTCTCTTTTCAGAATTTATCAGTTCCACTCAGCCAATATCATAATTATGTCTGTGTGTGAAGTAAAAATAAGTTTTATCTTCCTAGACTTAAAAATATGCAGAGACAGTAATTGTAGCCTTTATAAAAGTGGACATGTTGAAAAGATTTTGATACATCTAGATAGAATGGTTTTCCAGTTCTAAGAAATGGCTGTAAAAACTGGATCACCAGAGAGGCTGAACAAAACAATAGTCTCTTTGAATTAAGGGACTGAAGAAAAGTGCGAGAAGATCTTGAGCTACAAGAAAAACAAACTAGACTGTTCAATGGAAGCACTAATAATGAAGCTAAATTTTTTAATATTGTGGATATGTAACAGAAAGGTAGGAGTTACTGTAAAAAAGTTTATACCTGGAAAAGTTAATCAAAAAAAGAGGCTGACAAGAGACAAGTTGGCAAGATAATATCACTAATGACACAAGCACAGCCTTACAAGCAATGAAAGAAGCAGTTACTGCAAATCCTGTAAAAATGTCCATCAGATCAAAAGGAGTCAGAAACAACTGAATAGCAAAGTCCAAAACATACAAAAACCTGATATATTTGCAGTTCCTAGCCTGTTCTTGTATTAGTAAACAATTAAACTCTGGATAAATGAAATGTTTCTTATCTTTAACTCTATAATCTAGTCAAGCAATTAAGTCAAAGCCTGCTAAATATTCTTCTCATATAATATTCGTTGATTGAAACACCAAGAGGTAAAAATATAAAAGGGGCTTGCTGAATCTAGTCACAGTAGCAAATCAGATTGCACATTCAAGACAAGACAGGATGACAATAGCAATCTTCTAATTATGATCCCCCAAACCTATGAATTAAAAAAAAGTCCAAGACATTTTCCTGCCTGAAAGGGAGCACGAAATATCACTCTCAGTATCAAGATGCATTCTACACAATGTCAGCCATGTGTCAATAGCTATTGATGATCTTCCTTTTTCTGAATTTTTTTCTGAAAGCTGTTCAGTTTGGTGACCACACCATTTTGTGATAGCAAATTTCAAATGTGATTACATGCTATATTTAGAAGTAGTTTCTATCATTCTGAACCGACAGACTGATTCAGATTCTAGTATCATGAGAAAGGGGGAAAAAACCTATATGCTTTTCCTCCAGCATGCATAAATGTGTGTAATTCAATTATGCATTCTCTTATTCCTCTTTTATGTCTAAGTTATAAAGTCCCAAACAGAATAATATTTGCTTATATGGAAACAGCTGTGCCTTGTTTGGTTTGGTTAACCAATTGGTCCTTTCTTCAAGATTAACAAGATCATTTAAAAAATTCAATAATCAGAACTTGAGACAGTATCCCAGGTTTGGTTACATCATAGAGTTGTAGAATAAAAGCATTAGAATTTTGTCAATTTTAATTTCAGTTCTTTATTGAATAATGGTAGATGGAATCTACCATTTTTACAATGAACTGATATTATATACTATATAGAGCAAACCTCCTTTGGCTCCATATTTGCACAAAACTTTATCACTTTATTATACCCTCTATCTACATTAACAAACATCACTTAAACACTGATATAACATTGA